GATATTCCCACTTGTTCCCATTCCCAGCTGTCGAGTGCATCAGCGGCAGCAAGGCCTATGGGAATGTGGACAAGCAGGTGTGCGTGCTGTCCCGCCCCAGGGCCCCAGTTGTCTCCGTTTCTGTTCTTGAACTCTCCTTCTCTCAGCTTATGGCAAAAATATGTTCTCATGAAGTGCTCTGGGTCCAGGAGAAAATAGGTACATACAGGCTTCTGTGGCAACATTGTTATCATAAATACTCAATAAATTCAGATTGCCTGCTGCCACCCAACGAGGATGCTGTCAAGAGTATTTTTATTTATGTAGCATCCATGTCAACATACCAATGGTTTCTTTAATGATTATGCATGTCCTGCAAACTAGTGCATGTTTTTTCTTGGGGATTTTGTCACTTGTGGAAACAAAACATTCCCCTGAACAAAAAAAAAAAACCCAACCAAAAAAAAAAAAACCCCAAACCAGAAAAATCCACATACTTGTGGACAACACCACATCGTCTACTGAAGACCTCAGAAGCACAGTTTGTGGAGAGCTTACAAAGGGTCAGTTCAGAAATTCTAAGTATTCAACATACAAGGAAATAGCATGCGGCTGTAACAAGTCATGCCCTTAATGTACAATGGTGAGGACTGTTGACATCAATGCCCACTTAGCCCCTGTAAACTTTGATAACAATTGCAGATCAGAAATTCACTTCTCCATCTTACAGATAAGAAGGATCGCCTACTGATGACTCATTTTAGAACTGCATTGTTCCTTGAGACTGGATACAAACATCCATAGGTACCTAATTTCCATGTAGCTGTATAGTACCTACAACGATTCAAATCCTTGCAGAAGACAAGAAATGGAGATTTAACTTCACCCTATGCAAAGCCATTTCTGTGCCTATTTCAGGATCAAATGAAAAAAGTCCAGCCCCTTAGCTGGAGCTGGACTCCAAAGCTTTAGTCTTCTATCTTACAAGGTAGGTTTTTCTCATGAGATTTAATTTCAAGCTGGTTTAAATATCACATGAGGCCACAGGTGGCCTCAAAAGATTTACATCATTTTGGTAGAAATGTGTGAGAGTAGCTTTGCTGAGTATTCCCTAAGCTCTAGCCTGATTACTTGCGACAAATATCTACATTAAACCAACTGCGTATTAAAATAGTAAACGAAAACTGGTTTCTTCTTCTGCCTCTAGGCAAAATATTTTTATCGAATTGAAACCTGGAACTGGTTGCATTGGTGGACTTTTTGATGGAGACCCACAATTTAAGCAAAGAAAGGAATCCTATCATTTGCATGCATTTGTGTGTTTTAAGACTATGGTAGCAAGTGGTAGGAGTTGTAAATCTCCTTTCTCTGGATAGGTTTATTTGGGCACTTTAATCAAGCATATACAGCAACTGAGAATTCTGAAAAAAACATTTGGAGTGTGCTTTAAGCTACCTAGAAACCCAAAACTGATATCTAGAAAGTGAAAAGTTCAGACATTTGTCATCTGAATCACCATCTCTTACAAGTGTGTATGCCCAAAGGAGTCCTGCTGTTATATGACAGTGACTCAGCATGAGAGCTCATCCTCATGAGGCTGAAGTAGCTTTTACTCATACCTGCACTTTTCAGTCTGCCTTATCATTCCTTGCTCTTCTCTGTCTGTAAGTAGAGCCAATCCTATTGAATGCCGAATGCTTTTACAAGGAGCAAATGCAAAACTCTGTAAGCAAAGCTAGAACTTGTCTCAACCTTTAGGGAAGCATTTAAGGTGTCTCTATCAGCTCTGTCTTCTCCCAAAAGTAAGAGACTCGAGGTGACTCCGTTAGGCACACATCTCTGCAGGGGGTGGTACAGCCTAGCTGCATTGTACCAAAGTCTCAGGCTAAATGACTATTGAATCCTAATTCATATGGAAAAATCTATATGCATTTCAGGAAGTGTCTCCTGCTGAGGGTGATTTAGAGCTCCACTGTAACCATTACAGTTGCACAAAGGATGAATGTGGATCGTTATGTCAAGAGATATAACAGTGCAAGAAAAAAAACACCTTAGTCCATCACGTAAATAGCAAGCATTACCTACCAAGGTGACTGACAGCAGCAGAGAGCGCAAACCATGCTAGCATGAAGGCTGCTAGCGTGAAAAGAGTTGCATTTAACACACGAAAATCCGAGAACTTGCTTCCATTTGTAAAGGCATATTAATGACTTCATACAGTCCCCACAGCAGTCTTCCTTCCCATGCAAAACGTTACTGGGGAATCTGTTTCTTTAGTGGCGGGAATTGATTTTAGTGGTTTGGGAAAGCACCATTACAACGCTCACATACATCACCTCTCCTCTGAACGAGAGCTCTGTGTGCAATGCACAGGATGTAACAGCACTCACAGGTTCGCACATCGTATGCAATGTATGTACACCCAAGATACCAAAACTCATGATGCAATTTGGTAATCTTTCTCTTTTTATCCTTTTGTCACACAGACTGTCACAATGTGCAGTGTGGAAACAGTTTTGTAAGCGAGGCAATGCTGGCTGCAGGGCAAACTTTAAAAAAAAAGGGGGGTGTCAGAAGTTAGGCTGTAAAGCCATATTTTAAAGCTCTGAAGACGCCAAGGGCTTGGCATCTGTGACTATGAAAATGTGAAGACAGATCTAAGAGATTTATTTTAGAATACTACTTTTCAAACTACTGTATTAAGAAAAAATAATTAAGGAAGTCTCTCATAATCTGCATATACCAATCCTACATTAAGTCTCTTTACAAAGGTTAATTTTTATTAGGTGAAATAACTCAACGAAACAACTTAGTGAAATCAAACCAAAGAAGTTAATCATATTTTATAAGGTATTTCCAGTCAGTATAATTTACTATCAATTTTACATTTAAATTTTACTACCTATCCTCAGCCTTTTTGCCTCAAGACCTGTTCAAAAAAAGTCCATAGTGTCTGAAATGGTATTCCTGATTTTGCTGAAACAGAGTACCCTTCAGAAAAGAACACTTTCCTTACAATCATAATATTTAGGCAGCATGCCCTAATCAAATCCAATAAAATCAAATGGCATTGAAGAAAAAACTCCCTCAAATCACAAAATGCAGTGTGAGCCTTCATATGGCCAGATAATAGGGTTTTGTTTTAAATAAAATTGTGACTGCTCCATTTTAAGCCAGAGCTATAGCTTATTTATACAGTGGATAAACAGAGCAACCATACCATGCTAAGGTGCATTCAAAGATTTCTTTATGCAAAGTCTTCCCAAGTGGAAGATTATTTTTTCTGTAAATGTAAATGAAGTCTCCAGGCAGTAAAATCGTTTAGTACAGATGTGAGGCTGGACTGGGACAGTTCTGCAGTGAACAGCTGGAGGTTGAACTCCTTATCCAGGCCTGATTCAGTAAGGTATTTAAGAATTTGTGGAATTTTACAAATTTTTGTGAATTTTGAATACTGAAGGGTATGGGAGTTAGTCCCATACATACATTATGAGTCAATGTTCCTGACCTTTATTACTGTCAGCCAATGTTGCTCCACTTACTTTGAAGTCACTGGAGTTTAGGTCGTGTTTTTCCATCCCCTGAAGAATTAGCTCAGTGCATGATTATGAGTGCGACCTTTCATATTTTGTTTGGCAAATATTTATGTGACTGGATTTTGCTTGAGGATTAATTGTTCTTTATATAGATGCAAGTTTAGTCATAAAAATGAGGTTAACTCCCCTACTGTTCTGTTTCTTGTTGACAAACAACCACTGCAATTTACAGAGAAATAATATAGGTAATTTCTTTACCTCCAGCAAGAGAAAACAAACTCCTGCAGTACAGTCTCCTATTTTCCCATCCTCCTTTTCACTGTTTTTCTCCAACTCCCTTTTCTTTCACCTTTCTCTTTTATTTACCTTTCCTTCTCTGCCTCCCCTTCCTTCCTTTGTTTTTTCCCAGTTCCTCCTCTTTCTTCTACTATTCATGTTGTTTCCTGGTTTTTTCTCTTCCTTGTTGCCTTCCTCCTCCCTACAAGGAAGTCACAGTCTGCTCTTATTCACCAAAAATGGAGAACAGAGGCTGGGAGTAAGAAACTACCACAGCTGTTGGTGGCTGAAGGGACGATACCCAGATCACTCAGACTGCACCTTCAGGTTGAAGGTTTTTGCCTTTAACATTGCTCTGGCATTCTGACGGGTTTCTGCTAAGCAACCATCAGCAGTAAAAAATGGTCTAATCTCCTTTTCCTGTGATGGCATCTGGAGTGGTCCCAGGGTGAGCGAGTCCAGGATCAAATCTCAGCTTGGGGGATGCTGGGGGAGCTCAGGTAGGAGGCTGGGCTCCAGGACCCCCTGCCGTTGTGAGTAAAGGGGGATAAAACAGCCAAAACAGCAATCCGGTGAAACCTACAGAGCACAGACACTTAAATAGCTTTGTGAAACGGGTTCCCATGCTCTCACCAAGGCAATGAGTAAGTCTCCTTCATGCTGGCTTTGGGATCTGTGGGCACTGGCCTTCTTTCAGAGGCAACACTCACACCTGGGTCTTCAGGGGTATCCAAACACTCTTAGAGGTGTTGGACTTGTAAGACTAACTCAACAGCATTCATAATTGAAGTTAGATTGTATGATAAACACCAAATATGATCCTTAGTTTACAGCTGAGAAAAAATGGAGAAGAAAACCAGAACTAAATATCCTATTTCCTAGCATTTACTTTGTGTATGTGATAGCACCTTCTGTATGATCAAAGTTGGTATTCTGTAGAGCCAGCGTATTTCCCGTGTAGTGTGGGTTGCTTACAGCAAGGTAAGTGGAAAAATGGGATACTGCGTGTGTAACCAAGGCAGTGAATAAATGCATCTCTTGGCACGCGTGAGCAAAATCAGGCCAGCAGACTGCATGACAGAAAGCAGCTGGAAGACAAGAACATCTCATGATCTGGCTAGCAAGTGGATATATAACACCGATACGTCTGTTTTATGTCACGCTGTTGCTTTTTTTTTTTTTTTTGGTGTAGTAGCTTCAAAGGGGGAGAAAAGCCCATTTCAATGATGTCAACAGAATGTGTTCAGCCACTTGATATCCCAGAAGACAGACTGGACAAGCGAGATTCACACTGTAACCATTTAGGTAAGTGTTATTAGATGATGTCATTGCAGTAATTAGAGAGGTGTTGTCTTCACATCATCAGGTCCTGTCCAGTGCCTGTTTTTCCCCTCCAGCAACACAACTGAGCCCTCATGAAACCCGATAGATCATGCCTTCTGCTGACACTTCTGATGCCAGATGGAAAGGCAAAGAGTGTTTTTCCTGCATATAAATATTAGCCGAACCTCTAGAGCGAAGTTAATTAAAGAGGAGAAAGGAAAAGAGTCATTGTTCTTCTCCCTGGTAGAAAAAGTAGAGCAGTTTCTTCATTTATACCACAATAAACTGAAAGCTAGGATATAGCCGAGCCTTCCCTGAACACGTTTTCCATATGCAATTTTGGTAAAATTCCAAACACCCCTTTTGCCTCCACTGGGGCGGCTTTCTAAATACTTTTTCTCCTTCGTCATCAATCTGTTTCCTCTCTTGAACTTATTTCATATATAACTTTTGCACTGAGAGTACCACAGGCGTCTTTGCTCCACCACACTCCTAAATACCAGACTTCATACTTGATAGATGTGCTTTTTGCATATTCATGGTCTTTGCCTCTACTTCAAATGCTATTACTTCATTCCCGCCTTGCAAAATTGTCATGAAGATTTAGCAACCCAGAAACAAAAATCTATTTGCTCGTTGTTACCCTTGTGATGACAATAACGAAACACAAATGCAATTTCACTTGCTTGTCAAAAAAAAAGTGTCTCACTGCAGGCAAGCACAATTTTATAAATTTTGTTTATCTGGCCTGCAAGGAAGGTTTCCTAGTTCTGCCTCTGCCACACGGCATTTCTAGCCAAAGGCACCACTTTTACAACTGCTGGCATACCGAACATGATTGTTCCATAAAATTACTTATTTAAATAAGTGCAGAACGTGTCCCATTCTACAGTCAGGAAACTGAGGCAGCGGGAGGTTAAATGAGCTCATTAGGACCATGCAGGAAGCCTGTGAGGGCCAGAAAAAGACCCCACATCTTCCAGGGACTTCATCTGGAGGCCATCCTTCCCACGTCTACCCACAGGCTCGCAGACTTACGGCTGCCTCAAATAGTGTGGGAGAGCCTGGCACGAAGTCCTGTTGCACCCGAGCCTGCAGTCAGGGGTTGGGTGGGGGTAGGGGACCCTGCTGAAGCCAAACAAGCAACTTTTAAGAAATCAAAGCATTGGTTTGCATGATGATACTAATGACAGGCTACATCCAATATTTTCAGCTTGCATAAGCACCCAGAAATGTAGATCCTTGCAGAAAAACTGTGCTGACTGTCTGAGTCATCTGAGTCACAGCTTGCTTTATGAGAAAACCAAAAATCCAGAGTAATGTTATGTAAATCAAAAGCGAATACCGACTGCTCAGCGGCTCTGGAAATAAAGCCAACTCTCGAAGGGAACAATACACTGGCTTGGTTTACCAATAACTCAGGCTGACCCCCCCACATAAATCTTTCCTTCACCAAAGTGCCCTTGTAATTCTTGAAGACAGCCCGCACAGCTAGCGCTGCACGGAACAGGGATGGCCGTGGGACCTCTGCACACGAGGGTGCAGACTTCCCTCTGCCATGGAACACACAGCTGCCCACAACTCTCTCCCTCTGCTTGATATCTACCACCTACAAAGCAGAAGGACCACCTAAGTCACTTGACTCCCATGTAGTATGGCACAGAGGCCTCTTGTACTGGCTTTCTATTTAAGAGATGTTTCTCCACAGGCATTTTAATTTACTTGGATGAAAGCAGTATTATTAAAGCTTTTATTTTCACCAGGTGGTCTATTATTTCCACTCAGTTTCAATTTCTATTCATCTTTTTTTCCCCGCCCCCCTCCCCCCGCAGAGGATCTTTCAGAGCAGCTGATTAAGAGCTGTGACCTCAAAAAGAAACCAAGAAAAGGTAAAACCATCCAGCCTTCCCAAAACACTGAACAGGAGCAAAAAAAGCCGAGGAGAAAAGATACACCGGCTTTACACACCCCACCACCCCTAACAGGTGAGCAATACATCTCTTGACTTCGAAATCCCAATTCAGCTGAGATGCCTGAATCTGGGCAAAGGTCCAGAGACCCCTCATTCACTTGTGTCCCCTTGGAGGTGGGCAAGAATGCAGCTCCATGCCATGCACACCTGGGAAGGTAGGCAAACAGAGGCTGACTTTCTCAAAGGCATTCCCGGTTAGATGAAGGGTTTTCTCACAGGGTCTGGGAATACCAAGGTGAGTGGGTGCGTGCTCCTGAAAAACATGGTCCCTTGGATCTCGTAGTCTTACTGCCTTTACATGATAAATTATGTGTGCTTATCTCTAGCTGCTGAGCCATGCTAGGTGCCCAGATTCGATCTGGTCCAAAATCAAAAAGGACCCAGTTCAGCCCCTGCACTTTCTTGTGCAACTCGTACCCAGCGCTCAAGGGGAGGCTGAACGGGAGTAGAGCTGGGGGGAGACGGGAGAGGCACACAAGCTGGCTGCGGGTTGCTCCTCCGGGAAATCGCAGGGCTTTCAGGCTTATGGGGTCTCTGGCAAAGGGCGGGTGTTTTGGGAAGCCAGAAACCACCGCAGCAACAAAGGGGCTCCTTGTAGGATGCTCCCTGCTGCTGCGCATCTACAGACCTCTGAACTTCAAGAGCCAAATGCCACCAGCCTGGGGAAGGGAAGAATGAGCAGGAGACTGCCACTGAAACCTGACGATCTTCCAAGTGGGAATAAATGTTTGTCGCTTCTCTCTGCTAACAAGCACTCTTTGTCGTGCTCTCCAGAGAGCTGTGCTCGTATCCACTGCATTGAGTTCTTCTTCCCATGCTGCACATACACAGAGGAGGTAGCCAGTAACTACTTGCACGGTCCCCTGCGTACCCGCAACAATTCACCAAGTCAAAAACAAGCAGCTGGGATTTTCCAGTCTTTGTAATCCAGATATTGAATTCGGCACGTATGACACTGTTCGGCTCTCACATGTATCTGCCCCTTAGCAATTCTCTCTTAGGGAATAGCGGCTCAGAGGATGGAGAGGTGCATTTTGTGCTCACAGTCATTGTATCGTAAAGAAAACAGAGCTTCACTAGTTAAAATAGGCCATTTCTCTGTGGTCACGTTGCCCTCAAGCAGAGGCTTGAACATCTGTATGATTAAACTATGGTAACATGACTGAGCTTCTGGAATAGAAGATTGCACTCATCTTTACCATGATTTCTGATGGGCTGCGGTTTAGTCCATTAAGTACAACCAGAAACCAGATGGCCTGATAGCATCACTGTCTATAGCCTATGGGATATAATTGACTTGGAGGAAATGTATACCATTGCAAAACCTGAAGAGTAGCTACACCATCCAGAACAGATCACCCACTCGTGCAGCCTTACTTCAGAGTAGTCACTGGGAAAGTTACACAGGTGCAAATTTCTTCAATGTGAGGAAGGCTGAAGTGGCATTTTCTTTTTTTTTTTTTTCTTGCCTGCAGGCATACTTTCAGACTTTTCTGATAATCTGCTGAAAAGATATGGTATCACAGAGAAGCCACAGAGAGAGAGAGTAAGTCCAGGCTCTCAGATCACCGAACTGGAGCAGAAAAAGCCCAGGAGAAAAGATACACCTGCAATACAGCTCCCACCCTTGATAATAGGTAAGAAACGTACTTAGGTAAAGGTGCTCCAAAGGGGAAGCAAAACGTGTCTACTGTCAGAGGTATGCTTGGGAGGAGGCTGGAAGGAGGTTATTCTGCCCAGTTGAACTGGCCCTATTTGGTCAAAGTATATAGTAGCAGTGGTGGCTCATGGAAAGTCTTCTCCGTATTCCCTACTCATGCTTTTGGAATAGAAGGGAAGGAAAGTAAGAGAAGACATTAGGTCACTTGATTATCTCTTGCAAACATGATCCTACTTCTGTGAAAGGCCAACTACTGCCCTGCTTTTCGAATTCAGCACATGCAAATTTTTAGGTCATCAGCACTAACATAGTTCACACTGCTTCAACCAACTTAGAGCAAAGCTGTCCTGATTAACCTCCTCTAACTCCACAGTCCCTAACATGCACTGAGGAAACCAAGCTGTGATGAACTTCTTGCTAACAGCACTTTAAAGACGGTTCTGTGCTTCTGGTATACGCAGTGCAACAGCTAATTTGCTTGGTGATCATATGAAGTCAGCCAGCCATGTTTTGGTCCTAAGACCCTTTGTTTGTTGCGTTTCCCACATTCCTCTATCACAGAAGAGCCTCAATTCATCAATATTTCTGAAGGCCTTTGAAGATGTAAAGCACTGTGTAAATGTTAATTCCTAGTGCTAGCTAGGGATGCAGGAACTAGTGCAAGTTTGTGTGCTATGCACTAGCCCTTTTCCAGATCACAGGATGGAGCAAAAAATTAATGAACTAATGAACAAATAACAAACAAACAAATCCCAGATCCAAAACTAGTGCCAAAACTGGAAAACACTCTTCGCTTAGGAACCTCTCGTATGAACCAGTTCTGCTGTGGGCTGGCACTACTGAGCAGCAAGACACACTAAACGAAGAGGTCCTGAGACAGATACTTTGGCCCAGATACTGAGCAACAGCTCAATACATCAAGTTCCTGAGTTTCAGGTACACTTTGAATGGAATTTCCTGTACACCTAATAATTATGAGGTGTGCAAATGGCTTCATCAATCCGAATAGGCATCTGTATTTGTAGACATCTCCTTTCTTCGTGAACCTGAGCCTTCATAACTGACTTTAACATGTGTAAGAATTTTTTTCATTCCATCAGTATGAGGCTCCCAAAAGCAGAGAGGAGTATGACTAAGTTTGCAGGATCACGGCAGCAAGCATGTGAATACTAGTGCCTTGCATATTGATCTGCCTAAGGAAAATACATTTTTTTATTTGTTCATTGAACCCAAGCACCCCAATGGCTTGAAGCATCAGAGCTGCTGTGAGTGAGCCACTGGAAACCTGGTCCAATCATTTGCTGGGGGAAATGAAATCTATCATACAACTTCTGAGCCCAGCTGCAAATGCTCCCCTTTGAAATATTTAATACAGAGCACTGATAATGAACTGCTCATATAATTGCTGGAGGAAATTACCCAGCAAATTACCTGGAATTCCACATGACAACTATATTAGGTGGGAAAAAAACATAGTCTTTCAGGGATTGATTCAGAAACAGAAGCAGAGGCAAAATTTATCAAACCATTTGTAATAAATATTAGTCCTGTGTATTATACTTGAAGTCTACCCTTCCCGTGGACCTTGGAGGAGAGATGAGACATTATTTTGGTCAGTTCAAAAACACTCCCAAGAAAAGTTGCCTTTGGCCATTTGTAGCACCTTTGAAGATGCTGTACGTCCTTTGCACTTCAGGGTATACACAGAGAAGGAGAATCTGAAAGCAAGACATGTTTGATAGAAATCAAAGACGAAATGTGTGAAAGTGAAGCTGAGAGGCTTGACTCTTGTTTGGTTTAAATGTTATTGCTAGCTAAGAGGATGCAGCAAGGGTGAATTATTTCCTTGACCTGTCTCAACAATGCTCTGGTTGGATTAGCATCTAGTCACTTATTACTTCATGTTTCTACCCTCGCTTTAACTAGCTCAAGTAGGCACTTTAGAGAGAAATAAGAATCGTTGTAAGGGTCTTCACCTCCTGCCTCCCACAAAGGCTCCCTCTTCAACTTTTAATAATTTTCAAAGCAAAAAGAAGCTAATACAAGTTATATGGTAGCAGAAACACGTTATAATCCCCAAATGATTTGGTAATCAAAAAACTCAAAAGGGAAGAGCACAAAAAAGAAAAGTGCAGTAACCTTCAAACGTGTGACAAAATTCAAACCGTGTGCATTTGCTGTTGGGAAAATGATAGAAACTAATGCATTTTTCAGTTGTTTTCAATTATACCTCCAATGACACTTTCTTGCCTACTGGTGAAGCCACCTTCCAGCACTTAGCATGGATTCAGAGCAGCCGGCTAGATGCTGCCTCTCCCTGCAGACAGCTTTTCCAGATCTTGTATTCTGGGTCCATTTTCTAGTGATTGACCACCTGTGGCAGACTTGTGTCTGTATCAGGGGCAAAGTAGCCTATGTGTTTGAATGCCTGAATTTCATTCCCTCCCTACTCTAAGGATGAATATTTTCTTTTCAAGACACATACCAATATACAGCGTTCTGCTGGTTGAAATTCGCCGGCGGTGGCTCCATGACTTGCTGTGAAAAAGTGACTCATTGTGGCTGAGGTCTGGTCCAATATTTACTACTTGTTTACTTTCAGGGTTATCCCATCAGGTAGCAGACAGAGCACAAACAAACGGAGCTCTTGCAGAACTGCTGTGCAAAATAGAGCCTGAATTATAGACTCAGAGACTGAGAAGCCCTGGCAGGGCTACGTGTGCTAAATAAATACAGACAGGCCTTTCTGTCCCCGTCTCCCTGTTATTGGTGTTGCTGCAGTAAGCTGCACACTCAGTGCCATGTGTATCCCTTGCGACCTGCTAATGAGGATTGTCCCTGTTTCTAACATTTCCCCTTCAGATACCTCCCAAACGCCACTTCCAGATGCCAATTCAAAAAGCTTCACTTAATTGTTTGTAGTAACAGAGCTTAATTACTAGATTATCTTTTTAAGCAGCTGTCCACACGAATAGCTTTGTTGTAAATGTAGATAAAAATGGCAGCTGTGTTATCACTCTCCGTTTTGACCAGCTGGTTACGAGCACTCTAGGACAGTCCCTCTCCTTCTTGGGTGGCCAGAGAGATTTTCTATCGCAAATAAAAGCAAGTCAAACAGACCATACAAAGCGATGAAAATCAATGTGTCTACTGGAAGGCACATGATCCAAGTGAGAGTAGAATCAGTTTTACCTCTTGCAAACACCCAAGGGGGCTGCTAAGTTAAGATCTGAATGTTACTGTCTGCAGGAACCCATGGCTATCTGTTGTCTGCAGAAGGAGACTAAGGAAATCAGTCCTTAGCCAGCTTAAATGTCTAAGCATGAGCATCACAAAACCCTCCGCTACACGGGTCTGACTTCTAAATGTATTCAACCTTCAAACAGCTACTGAAGTGGCGCAAATAACATTGTGCCCTGTGTGTACAAATGAGCCATGAGCAGAGGTCTCCTCCAGTGGCCAGCTCCCCTTCAGTCAGCCAACACCTTGGCTTTCTGAAGGGACTAGACCAGAAGACAAAACGTAATCACAATTCTAATGGTTCTTTTTTCCTCTCTCGTGATAGTAAATTATTTGAATCTGATCCAAAGCCCGTACTCAGCTCTGGGACACTCTGTTGCCATCCCCACTTAGCAATATATCCAATTAACTGAAGGATTTCTGAGAGCTCTTCTGGCACGTGGGTTTGAGCAAGAATGTAAATACAGGTGTAAATATGGGAACATGGTTCCTGAAATGTGGCTGCTTAGGGTTTCTTAATCAGATCAGAGATAACTAGTAAAACTTCAGTTTCAAACCCTCATTCTCCCTCATGCCCTAGAAAACTAGTTAAGGTAGCTCCTTTAGGATAACATCAACTCCCCAGTGAAAAATCTCTGAGTGACGCAGGAGAAGTACAGCAGTTTAATGTCACCTCTTGCCCTTTTCCAGTGCAAGGGATGTGACTGGAGCACTCCAATACTCTTCCAACCCAGCTGCAGGAGTTGTCCGTAGGCAGTCAAGTGGAACTGGTGCCATCTTGGTGTTTTTCTGATTTACAGCCCAGGAGAAGTGGTTTAGATCTAGGTGGCACCCGGCAAATGGTTGATGTAAGCCAACAACTTCTTCTGCCTACGTTCGAGCTTCCTAACAGAAGCTCCCATGTCTCTGTGAGCCTTCGAGGTCCTAGCCTCTAGCTAAAAATTGCAAATTCTGTTGGGAAAATATGGCTACATTGTATTTCTATGCTGCTTTCTTTAGTCAGATCCCTTGGCAGATATTAACAGAACAACCTACCAATCCTTAAAACAAATCTGCAGGATGAGCTGCATTTCAGAATACACACAGCTGGGAAAACAGAGTTACAGGGAGGCTAAGTGATTTACTTAAACAGTAAACAGAGAAAGACTGACTTACAAATGTTCCCCAATTCCAACATCCTGCTCGCTCCTTTAAACCCAGAATTTCCAAACCACATTCAGTAAAGCACACTTTCTCCACAAGTGATCAGTGGCATCGTATCAAAGACAAAAATCCTTTCCGTGTGTTATAGAAATAATTCTAGCTAAGACATCCCATTTGTATCCTCTTTCCACTGTTTTGCATTAAAAGGCTGATTTTAAAGACAAAAGTCCTTGAAGTTGCTGGTGGTCCATGGTCTGGAAAGTTAATAACATGCAGCTCTAGGCTACGTCCTCCTCTGAGCTTTGAATCCTAAACTCTAATGGAAACTTCTGGAGTTTATCAGTC